CTGGCCTTTGTCTCTTCAGTCTCCAGGGCTTGAGAGTTGGGGAAGGTTCCCAAACCAGGTTTTCCAGGGGAGGAAGTGGTGCATCACCTAAATTCCTGTAGACATTTTTAAGGGGAGGAGGCAACAAAATGTAGGTACAGAAAGAGAGGCTTAAAGAGTGAAGGAGTGATTGGACAGTGCTACCAGAGAGGGAAGAGGGAGAAGAAGGGCTTCTCAGGGTGCCTTTTGCAGCCTTCTATAGGAGTTCTGAGAACCAGATTCTGAAGTGAGTAGACTCAGGAAAGAGAAATGGAATGGATTAGTGTCTGAGTCCCCAAAACAAAAAGATCTGGTTTGTTTTGGGCATACTGTCTTACTGTTCCCATTATGGGATTTTTGGGTGGGAAAAAGGGCCAGATTATTCAAGTCAGAGAAAGAAACTGGCCCCCGTATGTTGGTCAGCGATAGACTGGTGAAGGAGCCAGAGCAGAGGCGCCATTTTGGCAGTGATCTGGCACAGGTGGCCCACCTGGGGATGCCAAGAACTGGTCTGGAAGGCACAGAGGGAGTTTGCTTATAGAGGACTGACGGCAGAGCGGAAGAATGCAGTTACAAGAGCAAATACAGAAAAAGGCTTGGGCTTAGGGAACTCTGACCACTTGCCATTCCATTGGAGAAACGTATATCTTGCAGTATTGTGGGGTCAAAAGTGCAAGTCTACAACAGCTAGCCTTCAAGAGGGAACCTAGAGGGGGTCCCTAGGACCCAGCCTGCGTCTCTCTCTCAATACACAAGCTGAAGGGTTGTCAGCTGGAATGGAGGCAGTCCAGTGGTAAAGGGTCTCTGGTCCGGAGGTCATCAGAGGGAGAGAGAAAAGAAAAGGTGTGTGTACAGGAAGAGACAGATTGAACTGCCATAAGACAAGGTAAGTTACCTTTCTAGAGGAGATGGCTGGGACTTTTTAGATGACAATTTAGATTTTGAGAATGTTTTATGGCCGAGAAGGATTTGGTGAGCAGAACAGGAGAGCAGGGGAGGGGATCTGGAGGCTTGGCTGTAGGGGACCTGGACCGTTTCTTTGGAGGAAGTCAGTCAGAATGTCAAAATCTAAAGTATCAAAGTTGGGCTGGAGTTTGTACTGAAGCCAGCCAGATCTGGGTACGTAAGTGAATTAATTCTAGGAGGCTGCAATTGAGAACCCATTTCAGAAAACTTGGAAGGACTACAAAATGACCTGTTCTGCCACCAAGGGCATCTCTGAGGCTTAGGGAAGGCAGAGAACAAACCCAATAATTAGGAGAAGGGCATCCCCAAGGTCCTAATTAAAGAGAATCTGGGGTCAGTCAAATGTGAAAGACTGCCAAAGTCTCTGGAGACCACGCAGACCAAGAGAAAGTGGGAGATTCCCAGAGTCCTCAGAGCCGCATTGGGGTGTCTCTGCCGTGGATCTGGATGAATACCTTGTCCTGAAGGCTGTGTGCAGGGATGCAGCCTGCCAAACAGTGAAGGGTCTCCTGGCCTGGAGATCAAGAGTCACGGGATGGAGGAGAGGAAGAGAGATTCGGAGGGGCCAGGGCTGACGCTGATAACTCAGGGAGTTCCAAGGGTGACTGGTGGTTGTTTAGCCTAAAATAGTAAGCGTGGTGGGCTCTGTCCTCCCAGTGGAGAGAGACCCCAAGGAGAGATGGAGACTGAAGATTGGGGAGACATGGCCAGGAGGTGGAAGGGGGGGGTCCATTAGCTCTGGATACTAACCTCTCCTGGGTTTCGGCTCCCTATGTTACGAAAACGGAGGAGAAAGAACAGGCCCGACTTGTTCTCAACTATTTATTACAGCAGTGAGGGGTAGCAACCTTCCCACAGGATGAAAGTTATACAGGGAGGTAGAGTTGAGGTCAGGCTCTTAACGAGGAAGCAAATACAAAAACAGGCTGTGGTCTCTTGGGGGCCAACAGTAGGCATGGCTGGCCAGGCCCAGAACCGAATACTCAGCCTGAGGTGAGGGAACTTTCAGCGAGCTAACTGATAAAAGCTGCACACTGCATTGACCCCTGCCAGGTGCTCAAGTGCTCACATGCTTAACTGCAGGCAGGTCATATAGTAGTGGTATGTTTAGTTTGATCATAAATCACCAAGCTGTCTTCCAAGTGGTTTTACATTCGGGGCGACAACAGCGCCGAGAGCTCTGTTGCCTCATGTCCTTCCCAGCATGCTTCCTTGTTAGCTCTGGATGTGGGTCACTCCCACAGGCGTGTAGAAGTAACTCACAGGCGTGTAGAAGTGTCCCACAGGCGTGTAGAAGAAGTGTCCCACGGGCATGTAGAAGTGACTCACAGGTGTGTAGAAGTGACTCACAGGCGTGTAGAAGTGTTCACAGGTGTGTAGAAGTGACTCACAGGCGTGTAGAAGTGTCTACAGGCGTGTAGAAGTGTCCATAGGCGTGTAGAAGTGTCCACAGGCGTGTAGAAGTGCCCACAGGCGTGTAAAAGTGACTCACAGGTGTGTAGAAGTGCCCACAGGCGTGTAGAAGTGACTCACAGGTGTGTAGAAGTATCCACAGGCATGTAGACGTGTCTCACAGGGATGTAGAAGTGTCTCACAGGCATGTAGAAGTGTTCACAGGTGTGTAGAAGTGTCTCACAGGCGTGTAGAAGTGACTCACAGGCGTATAGAAGTGTCTTACAGGCGTGTAGAAGTGTCCCACAGGCATGTAGAAGTGTCTCACAGGCGTATAAAAGTGTCTTACAGGCGTGTAGAAGTGTCCCACAGGCATGTAGAAGTGTCTCACAGGCGTATAGAAGTGTCTTACAGGCGTGTAGAAGTGACTTACAGGCATGTAGAAATGTCTCACAGGCGTGTAGAAGTGTCTCATTTATTTAATTTTTGTCACTTGAGGACCTGTGATGTTATACATAATTTTATGTGGTTTTTTATCTTTGAATCTTCTTTGGGGAGGTTTCTTTTTAATCTGTTTATTTTTTATTGTTGAGTTTTAAGACGTCTTTAGATTTTAGTTAATATTCTTTATCAGATAGGTCTTTTGAAACTTTTTCCAGTCTGTGGCATTTTTTTCTCTCATACTCTTGACAATATCCTTCACATAACAAGAGCTTTTAATTTTAATATATGACATGAATTACTTCTTCTATGGCCTTTGGGATTGTTTTTGTTTCTACTTTTGTGCTGATCCTGGGGCTTAAATTCAGCGCTGTCCCTGAGCTTTTTTATAACTTACAGCTAGTGCTCTGCCACTTGAACCACAGCTTCACTTCTAGCTTTTTGCTGATTAATTGGAAATAAGAGTCTCATAGACTTTTCTACCATGGTCCTCAGATCTCAGCCTCCTGAGTAGGATTACAGATGTGAGTTACTGATGCCTGGCCATTTTTAGTTAATTTTTGTGAAGCATGTAGTCTGTCCAGACTTTTTTTTGCATGTGAACATCCAAGCATTCCAGTACCTTTTGTTGCAGAGTGTCGTTTCCCCATTGGATTGCCTCTGCTTCTTTATCAGAGATCAGTTGCCTTTGTTTGCCTCAGTCTGGGCTCTTATTTTGTGCCATGGATCTCTTTATTTTTTTATTTTTTGGTCCGGTCATGGGGCCTGAACTCTGGGCCTGGGCTCTGTCCCTCAGCTCTTCAGTTCAAGGCTGCACTCTACCACTTGAGCCAAAGCACCACTTCCAGCTTTTTTCTTTTTGCTTATGTGGTGCTGAGGAATCGAACCCAGGGCCTCACGCATGCAAGGCAAGCACTCTACCACTGAGCCACCTTCCCAGCCCCCCCCCCCTTTTTTTTTTTTTTAATTCTTAATGGTTATTTTTTTGGTGTGAATCCTCAGGCTTGAACTCAGGGCATAGGCCCTGTCCCTGAGCTTTTTTGCTCAAGGCTAGTGATCTGCCACTTGAGCCACAACTACACTTCTGGCTTTTTGGTGGTTAATTGGAGAAAGAGTCTTAACAGGCTTTCTTGCCCAGGCTGGCAGATCCTCAGATCTCGGCCCCCTGAGTAGCTGAGATTATAGGCATGAGCTACTGATGCCTAGCTGTTATTATTTTTTTCTTTCCCTTTTAATTTGAACATGATACAGTAAAAAAAAAACTGTAGATGACAATATCTGAAGTCCAAGCTGGATCTTTCTTTTGTCATTTGTTTCTGATTGTTTTTGCTGGATTCACTCTACTAATGCATGTCATGTTAGTCACAAAGCTTTGTCTTATAATGCAAGTGTCTTCCTCTCCTCTCCCCCCCTTTTTTTTTTGGTGATGGTACTGGGGCTTGAACTCCCAGGATAGCCTGGGTGCCATCCCTGAGCTGTTTTGCTTGCGGTTAGTGCTCTACCACTTGAGCCACAGCTCCACTTTTGGCTTTTTGGTGGTTAATGGGAGATAAGTATGGTGGAATTTCCTTCATTGGCTGTCTTTGAACTAGGACCCTCAGGTCTCAGTCTCAAGTAGCTAGTATTGCGGGCGTGAGCCAGGAGCACCAGGCTTGGATGCCTTCCTCCATGCTTCCTTTTTCCGCTTGGTGCGCTGGTCCAGGGTGTATTAACAGTCGCCATCTATTTCATCTTATCCTACAAGGAAATGGCCTTTGGCAGCTGTTGTCGCCCCTGGCCATGCCAGAGAGTTGTAGAAGACTCAACGCCAACACAAAGGCAATGCCCTGCTCACTTCAGCTTAAACCAGGAACAGACGTCTGCTGTCTCACTGTAGGCCAGATGCCACAGAACAGCATTTGAGGGCCGGGGACTCCACAGATGCGGTTCCGGGTTAGACACGCAGCCTGAGGGACGATTTGTGGGTGAAGCTAGGTGATATCTAGGATTTTCTCTTAAATGCTTTAGGACATTTATATGAAACATTTGTCAAACTATTGGTAATTAATTACTAAAGCTGTGTGCCTGGCCGTTCATTACATAATTCATCTTTTGTGCATATTTGAGATTTTTTGAAACATTGTTGCCTTTTCCTCTTTTCCTCTTACAAGATATCTTCTTACTGCTGCCCTCTGTCTCCCCAGGCAGAAGTGATGGCAGACCGGGTGCCCTGCTGCCCTGTCTGCACGGGTGTTGTGAAGCCTGACATCGTGTTCTTTGGGGAGCCGATGCCCCAGAGATTCTTGCTGCACGTGGCTGATTTCCCCATGGCAGATCTGCTGCTCATCCTTGGTACCTCCCTGGAGGTTTGTCAGTGTGGAGGTGGGTGCTGGGTGGAAGTGGGTACCGCGGGGTCACCACAGAGTAGTGGTGAAGATGCCGTCTTTGCAGGTGAGTGGATCCAAAGCATTTCGTGTTTGGTGGCCCTGGGGGAGTGGGTTAGGTTAGGTGAATGGGAATGGGACGGGAGGAAGAGAAGGTGCTGCAGTGTGGTGGGTCTCCCAGACCAGGTCAGGAAGCCCATCTTGTATGGGACCAGGCTCAAACCTGAGCAGCTGACCCAGGGCTGGAATTGTACCTTGGATGCTACTGCAGGAGTGGACTGTAGCCTGGGGAGGGGAGCGTGTAGTGCTTAGTTTGCAGGGCTGGCTTTGCCGGTAAGGGGTGATCCGGAGAGATACTGAGTTGCACACGGTTGCCTAAGACACCCACTAGATGTGTCCAGGAAGTTGATTTGCATCTGGCTCTGATCACCAGGAAATTTCTAAAAGGTGTAATTAGAGTAAGCAGTGAGACCATGAAAAAGAGCTGAGCCTGACTGGATCTAGCCACCAGCAGACAGAAAGGCCAGAAAGCCCAGCCTGCTGACAGGCCCAGCACTATTACTGTTCCAGTAATCCAGGCCTCACTGGTGTTCTGGACAAAGTAAGACAAAGGTATGAGCTTACAGGGTTTTTAGAGGGCAGGGTGTACTATGGGAAAAGCAACACAGTGGGTCAGGGTGGGTGAGTGGATGCAAAGTGAATTTGGACACAACCTTGTCAGGTGGTATATGTGTGCCTTCAAGAGAGACAAAGGAGCTGAGGGGCGTGCTGGCCAGCATGGAGAGCAGGGCCAAGAGGCCCTGATGCGCTATGCCAGGTCTCTTCCTGTTGACTGATACGCTATGCCAGGTCTCTTCCTGTTGAGAGGGCTCTGCGGTCCTGTGCCCTTGCAGGTGAGGTCAGATGGTGCTGGCAGGTACAGGTAGACCTGCAGGGATCAACACCCATGGGAGCCTGGATGTCCAACCTGGAGGTGATATGAACTCCTGTAACACTAGAGTATTGCCTGTATTTCATTGGGATTTGAGGTACTCATTGTTGGGAGTGAAAGGCGCATGGAATTCAGCAGAGCTGGGGGTACAGGTATGGGACAGAGGAAACTCCTCAAGGCCTTGGAGGTCTATAGTCAGGTTGTGGGTTCAGCCAGCCCCATTGCCCAGGCTAGACTGCAGCCATCTTTATTTCTGAAGTAAAATGAAAACAGCCCCCCACCCCATCCCCACTTCTTCTACTTATAGAAGTACCATATGGGGCTGGGAATATGGCTTGGTGGTAGAGTGCTTGCCTAGCACGCATGAAGCCTGGGTTTGGTTCCTCAGCACCACATACACAGAAAAAGCCAGAAGTGGCGCTGTGGCTCAAGTGGTCGAGTGCTAGCCTTGAGCAAAAGCAGCTCAGGGACAGTGCCCAGGCCCTTAGTTCAAGCCCCAGGACTGGCATAAGAGAGACAGACAGACAGACAGATGACAGACAGAGACATTAAGTGGTAGAATATGTCTTGAGTGAAAAAGCTAAGCAAAAGCTTGAAGCCCTCAGTTCAAACCCCAGTACCTGTGCATATGCACACACACATGTACACACACACACCCACGTAAATTTGTTCACAAATTACATTTTTAGTTTATCAGTCAGAAATACTAACCATCACATATGTCTGTGGCGATGGGAAGTTTAAATGTTCTTAAATTGCATAGTTTATGTGGGTACTAATGAACAGTAGTCAAATCTGTCTCCTGCCTTTGTCTAACTTCAGTTACCACACCTAAGAAAGGTCCTTCCCTGCCCCTATGCATAAACTGTGGGTTTTCATTTTCAGTGTACTTGAAACAGACTATTCCTCTATTTCAGGCTGGCCATGAACCCCCCATTCTATCTCTAGAGGGCTGGGTTTCCAGGGCTAGGTGTGCCACCATATCTGGCCAGAAATTTTTAAGGAAAGGCAGGATTGGGCATTTACTCTTCAGAATCAAGCCCATCTTGAAAGCATCATCCTATTTCTTACAGTGTTATCTTGAAAGAGGATGTTGCTTGAGAGCCAATGCTGGTAACATAGGCCTCTTTGGAACACTCACTCAGCCACGGGCAGGGGCTCTGGGCCTCTCCATCAGCTAAGATAGGTGTGGAAGGGGCTGAGCCCAGGCTGTGCTACAGTGGGCAGCTGAATAGAAGACGCTCGTGGCAGATCTTGCAGATTGGCAAGATGGATAGAGACTGGGAACGTGAAGCGGATAAGATCATCCAGTCAGGTGGTAGGAGGTGATGCATGGTAGGGCTGTGTGTCTGGTCTTGGGTCCTCAAGGCTTCTGTGGGAGTGGTGTGGAGTAGTCCTGAGCTGATGAGGTGAGATTCTGATGGTGTGAGGCAGGTGCTGATGCTGCTCCTCACACTTGACCATTTTTCAGGTGGAACCTTTTGCCAGTTTGTCTGAGGCTGTACGGAGCTCAGTGCCCCGACTGCTCATCAACCGAGAACTGGTGGGGCCCTTTGCTTGGTGTCCTCGAAGCCGGGACGTTGCCCAGCTAGGGGATGTGGTTCACAGCGTGGAAAAGCTGGTGGACCTTCTTGGCTGGACAGAAGAACTAAAGGACCTCGTTCAGCGGGAAACTAGAAAGATATAGACTACTCTCTCACCTTTGTGCCAGCTGAATGGATGGGACAGGTAGGAGGGCAGTTAGCCCACAGGAGAAACCATCATACAGCAGATTCACATCCCATTTCTAGAGAGACAACGTGCTTGAAGACAGCGTGGCCAGGTTCACAAATCTTGGACAAAGCAGGATACAGCCTGAGCCAGAGTAGACATCTGAGGCTGCACTGGAACTTCTTCGTGGATGGGCGTGTTTCACATCACACACATGGATGGCAAAGAGTCGCTTACTTGCCTGTCTTCTTCGTCTCGTTCTTCACTCTGCTGAAGCTTGTAATACACTTTCTGCTGGCAGTGGCTCTCTTGACCCGACTCACTGGATCCCGGACTGGGCTTACTTTATTATACCAGGCTGTTGAGGGCAGTTCAGCATGTCTGTCACAAGACACAGGTCTGGGCCACATAGCCTTTGGTACCCTAGCAATGGACTAGGGTTGTCTAGTGTGCCAACCTCTGCAGTAGTTAATCAGCAAATTTCTCACACGAAATAAATACAAAACCAATCATCCTTTTTGTCTTCTCAGGACAGCAAGTATTGATATCAGAGTGGAAAGCTAACTTTGTGACATGGTGTCCCCCCCCCTCTTGGGATAGGAGGGACTGAACTTGTCTGTCCTTGGATTGTGAAAATGGTCCAGGCCTTTCAGAGCAGTCTGCCCAGCAGTTCCTAACCTTCCTCTTGTCCCCCACCCCTACACCTGGGTGTCTAGTTAGGGTACTGAAAACTTCAAACACAATACACAGGTACCATGTATTAGGAAATGTTACTGGCTCCGCTGTTAGCCCCAGCTTGTACGGATGGGTACTGGATCTCCTATTGTGTAGAGGTACTGTTTCCTACATGGCCCAGACACAACTCTAATAGCTGACCTCCTTATCTGCCACCCATATGTATGCCCTCCTTCCTGGTGCATGCAGACCATTTCCTGTCCAAGCTGCACCTGAGGGGGAGGGTGGGTGATGGGAAGTTAAGACTCCATGGAAGGTGGTTCTGGGACCTTGCTTCTCAGTTAACAAGACATGTGGCCGTCTGGAGGAGGTGTTAGAGATTCTGAGAATAAAACTAGCTTGGATTTTTACTTAATATCAGCATGTTTACCTTTTTTTTTTTTGGCTAGTCCTGGGCTTGAACTCAGGGTCTGGGCACTGTTCCTAAGCTTCTTTTGCTCAAGGCTAGCACTCTACCACTTGAGCCATAGCACCACTTCAGGCTTCTGTTGTTTATGTGGTACTGAGGAAATTGAACCCAGGGCTTCATGCATACTAGGCAAGCACTCTACCACTAAGCCACATTCCCAGCCCTGTTTAACTATTTTTTTTTTTTTTTTTTCAGGTAAGGGGTAGGTTTATTCAGTAGACCTGCTGGGACCAGGCAAGTTGGCACTCCACGTGGTTGGGAAAGGCCTGGGAATGAGAGAGAGCTGGGAAAGAGAGGAAAGAGAGAGGGAGCAGAGAGAGCTAGAAAGGAACAGAGAGAGAAAGCTAGAATAGAACAGAGAGAGCAGAGAGCTAGAAATGAACAGAGAGAGAAAGAACTGTTTAACTATTTTATACAGATACTCAAAAGCATGGTCCTGCCCAAAACTCATCTTTATTCCATTCCTCTGAAGTCAGTTTACAGTCCCACAAGGGCATTTTCTTTCACGTGTTAGGCTAGAATGAGTAGGTAGGATCGATCTATTTATCACAACCAATAAGGTGGCTGAGCCCTGTGCTGAGCTGAGGAAGCAATAGCACATGCTTTGCTCTGTTACCAAACTCTAGCTATACAGTTAGAGGCCCGTTCCCCTGCATAAAACACACCACATGCCCCATACAGTAGCTCTGGGCCAACATACCAACCTCAGATGGTTTTGCACCTGTGTTCCCAGCTCAGTACCACCCTTCCTCACATACTGGCTGTGATGTCTCTGACCAAGTAGCCTCTGCACTTACACATATCACAGAGACAACTTTGCTGATTTCCCACCTACAGCAGGACACGACCATCACAATCCTAGGCAGATCACAAGACAGAACTTGGGGAATAGAGAAGGGGGTCCCCAGATAGAGGAGTGTGTGGCTTCCCTGGGTGGCACTGAGGGCGTCTCTGGAAGCAGCACCAGTTCAGGAAGAGGCAGAGACACCATGTTGTCAGTCAGGGTCCGAGTCAGGGTCTGAGGAGAGCTGTTCCTCCATGGTCTCACACATTGCATCCTGCAGGGATGTCAGGTGGCCCCGGGGACTCATCCCCATGGGCTGGATGACTCTGTGCCTGAGGGGAAAGCACAGCAGGGCTGGGCAAAGGGCCTGGCTGCGACCGGGGCCTAGGGAGCACCCTGTGCCAGTCTGGCCCAAATCTTAGTATCTAACAGACTTAGTGTTGGGCAGTCTCTCATATTCTTGGCCTGTTTTCATCACTGGTAATGAAGGGCACAATAAGGACCTTCCCCTCTTTTCTGTGGGATTTCTTAGAGGGCAAGCAGTGATTTTAAACAAAGTAATGCAGCCTTTCCAAGGTCCTTTCCTTCCTCTGGTCCCCCTTCTCTCAGCCACAGGCCCTTCGGTTCACCACTCTCACCTGGAAAGCTTGTCAAACATGTTCACCAGCTTCATGGCTTCATGCTCTTTCTGCTCCTCTGTCATGCCCTCCATAGGGTTGGGAGGCTTCTCTTCCACCCTCCCGGTCACCGGGTTGATGCTGCTTCCCAGGGCAAGAGCATGAGACACGTGTTAGGTTACTTTCTAAGACAAGCGGTGCTGGGTGGACAGGCGGTGTTCCCATCTTCCTCATCAAGCCTAGTCCGGGAAGAAACCCAGGTTTTTGGTGGTGATGGAAGAGGTAACTTTCCTTCCAGGAACAGTAATTGCTTCTGCTCCAGGCAACTCCTGGCTCCCTAGAGAGCCTGCTCGGGAGCCTGAGCATGTCATCAGGACAACCATCACTTGGGACAGGTGGATGATTCCAGAAAAGTCTCACCCACTCTTCATCCCATCCCACCTACCACGGGAGTCTAGGCAGGGAGGGCAGGAGCAGGGACGGACAGGTCTGATGGTGAGCTAGCACACACCTGGCCTTGGCTTCCTTGTACTCCTCTGTGTCCGTGTCCTCGTCCTCTGAGTACTGACCTTCAGGCCGGCCCCCTGCCATGAGACCTCTGGCAGCCAAGAGGCCTGCAGCATTTCCATAGCCTGTGTACTTGATGAATCGAGGCACTGCAAGCCAAGGCAGGAATCAGTGTGTGAATGCAGCTAGGGCAGGGCAGACCTGGGAACTGGGCACCCCTTACCACTCTCCGAGCACAGGACAAAGAGGAACTCAGCAGCTACTCTCTTCACGTCAGTGTCCAGGTGTGTCATGAGGCGGACAAGCTTGTTGCGGAGCAGGTCCCCGACCTCAGGTCGGGTCCGGACATCCTGCAGAGGGGGCAGCACCTGGGAGGGCAGCTGTCCCTGAGGCCAGGCTTGGAGGTGCCAGGCGCACGTGGAGTTGAGGCAAGCCCGCCCCACCCCCACTCAGGCTCCTTGGCTGGGTACCTGGGCCTTCAGGAACTTCCTGACTGGACGGTGCATGCGGGCGCACTCCGTCAGCACACTCAGCACAGGAGCCACACTCTCCTTGAGCCTGTGGGTCTGCAGAAGGCCAGTCACCCCTGGGGTGCGGTGCCGGCCGCACACAGGCAGTGCTGGGTCCTGGCAGGAAGGCTTGAGAGAGGCCACGCTGGAGGAAGTCAGTGGAGGGCCAGAGCGGGGGGTGGGTGTCTGTCAGCTTCAGAAGGGATGGGAACAGGGCCTTGCTCAGCTGTAAACTAGGAGTGTGACTGAACAGCACGCTGGAAGCTGTCAGCACGCCCTGCAATACGTGCTACCCTCAGGAAGTGACAGCAGTGACAACAGACTCCTTATCCTGGGGGCCTCCCTTGCAGACAAGTAGCTGAGTTTCTGTCTGGGCCCAGCCGCATCATTCCTCTGGAGCCCGACACCAGCAGCTGTCGCAACAGGGGGCTTAGCCAGCTCCTCTGCACTCCACAGCTCACCCACTCCTGACGCACCACACTCCTCTCACACTCCTCAGAGGCCTGCCACACTTCAGTCTTTCCCCTGCCTAATGTCAGTGAATCAGAGGGACCTCTGATCAGAAGCTTCAGCGCCAAGGATGGGTAATGCAGGTAACCTAGGGTTGCCATGCCCGAACCCTAGAAGTGTGAATGTCACAAGCAAGGACTAGGGGCTTTGGAAGACCATGCAGGAGGGACCTACAAAAAGACTTAAAAGGTAACAAGCACCTCACTAAGCCCTAAGAAACTTGTTTCCTTGTAGTAAACAACAGCAGAGAGGGCGTAAGCATGCAGGTGTCCAGAGGGAGACAGGGTAACATTTGACAGCTTTCCCTAAGGCTAGACTTGGAGCAGCCAGGTCATCAGACCTCCATTTGCTAATGTGAGCAGAAACAGTGACCGTAGCCATGTGTGGATGCCAGGGCCAGAACCCCTAGGGACGTCCAGGTAAAGTTCCTGCTTACCTGGTGCAGACGCTTTTCCAGGAAAGCAAGGAGTGCACTGATCACATCCATATTCACTCCCAGGAACTCCAAGGAGCCCTCATGAAGCTCCAGGGTGAGAAGGGTATCTAAACACTTGAGAGGCAAATTCCCCAGGAGGTTCACTGCGTGCCTGGGGAAAGATGGATGGAGGATCCTTGAGCTGGTCCTCAGCACAGGTGTAACTCCTAGTTTCCCCTTCTAGGAATACACGGTGCAAGTCAGCACTTAAGGGCTTAAAGAATAGTACTAAGGACCACAGTCAAGAGCAAGGACTGGTCTCAGAAACATGGGGGAAGGGGCTCCTGAGGAGCCCCACCCTCTGTAGACACTCTGCCTTCCCCACCAGTCTGGGCTGAGGCACGACTTTATCTCTGGAAAGCGAGGCCAGCCCAGGCACTGAGACACAAAAAATAGGTTGCCTTGTGATACTTTGGTGATCCCTGCCTCTGCCCAAAGCCCTGCCCCTATGTTCCATACGTGGAAGCACCTGAGCTCTTGGGAAGCAAACCAGTTAACGTCTGATTCCCCAGACAAAAGTTAGACACTGTGTTACAGCCTTGGCTCTCAAGGTGGTTCTAGTCCACAGGCAAGCAAGACACCAACACCTAGGTACCTGAGTAGGTCACTCCCAAGCACAAGCCCTGCTCTCACCCATGGAACTCCTCTGTGCGGTCCCCGGCAGCAGCAATCATCACACAGTGTCGCAGAAGTGTTCCCAGGTACTGGTAAAGGGCGATATCTTCCTGACCAAAGACAAAGGATCTCCTGTGAGGAACATCACTCTGGCTGCTGCACCCCAGGGCCTCCCTAGCCAGTGCTAGGCTGAGACGACCGTTGCTGCTCTCTCCCAAACGGTCCTCGACGCAGACTAGGACGTTAGTGACTCCCATTGGGATGCCGTTAACATACCCTAGTTCCACTTAGGAAAATAGGCATGGCTCCTGTCCTGCCACATCCATGAAATGGCCGAGCCGAGCCCCACCTGTGCTCACCTCCTCCACCTCCCTCTTGATGGACTCGAAGGTGATATTGAAGAGCACTTTGAGGATCTCCATAGCTCGCTCAGTCTCTTGGAGGGGAAGGAACTCAGGGGGGCTCACTTCGGGGGTCACTCCCAGCGTGAGCTCCAGCGTGTCGGTCAACAGCCGCACACCCCGCAGCTCCTGAAACAGCTGCTGGCGCACGTCGGTGCGGAGCGCTGTTAGCAGGAAGAGGAGCCGCAGGTCAAAGAACTGGACTTCGTGGGGGAAGCTCCTCGCTCGGTAAAGTCCCACGCGCTCCGTGAGCCTCACCACCAGGTTGGCCTCTGCGGCCGCCAGCTGCGCCGCGGGGCTGCTGAGCACGAGGTTGCACAGGCATTTGAGGGCCTCGAGCGTGACGGCCAGGTCCGGGGGCCCCGCGCCGGGCCCCGCGGGGCCAGCGATGTCCGCCCAGCGGGCCAGCGCCCCGATGCTCTGGCGGCTGGCGAACGGGTCCAGGCAGCCGCGGTCCCGGGACAGGATGCGGACGGTCTGCAGCCAGGTGACGCGGTGCGAGGGCGGCGGGCCCCGCTCCAGGACGGA